GTTGCCAGGATGCTGAAGGCTGAGCAGATTTGCACAGTGTGCGCTGCCGGGAAGAGGCAATGGAGATGGAGCCTGGCGGGGTAGGGGGCCTTGCTGAACACCCTGAGGGCCAGGCGTGGTAACTCACACCCGCAATCCCAGCACTTTGGGAGGCTGAGGCAGGACTGCTTGGAACCAGGAGTTTGAGCCTGGGCAACACAGCAAGACCCCATCTCTATAAAAATACATATTAGAAGGACCTTGGGCTTCTAATGAAGACATCAGAAGGGCCACACACCAGGAGCTAGGGCAACACCCCTGGGGGAGGACAGAACTGAAGCAAGCCCTCATCACTCCAAAACAAAACCCTGGTGGGGTCTCAGCGAGCTGCTGTTACGCTGGCCCCTGCCAAAAGAAAACACAGCCCTGTGAAGACACATCAGCACCAGCTTCCACCATCTGTCATTTATAACATCCAGCATCCATTCAAAAATGACAGGCTGGGCGCGGTGGCTCACGCCTGCAATCCCAGCACTTTGGAAGGCCAAGGCAGGTGATCACCTGAGGTCAGGAGTTCGAGACCAGCCTGGCCAACATGGTTAAACCCCCGTCTCTATAAAAATATAAAAATTAGCCAGGCATGGTGGCGGGTGCCTGTAATCCCAGCTACTTGGGAGGCTGAGTCAGGAGAATCACTTGAACCTGGGAGTCAGAGATTGCAATGAGCCGAGATTGTGCCACTGCACTCCACCCAGGGAGACAGAGAGAGACTCTTGTCTCAAAAAAAAAAAAAAAAAAAAAAAAAAGCCACGTGTGGTGGCTCATGCCTGTAATCCCAGCACTTTGGAAGGCCGAGGTGAGCAGATCACGAGGTCAGGAGATCAAGACCATCCTGGCTAACAGGATGAAACCCTGTCTCTACTTAAAAAAAAAAGAAAAAAGGCCAGGCGCGGTGGCTCAAGCCTGTAATCCCAGCACTTTGGGAGGCCGAGACGGGCGGATCACGAGGTCAGGAGATCAAGACCATCCTGGCTAACATGCTGAAACCCCGTCTCTACTAAAAAAAAAAAAAATACAAAAAAAAAAACTAGCCGGGCGAGGTGGCAGACGCCTGTAGTCCCAGCTACTCAGGAGGCTGAGGCAGGAGAATGGCGTGAACCCGGGAGGCGGAGCTTGCAGTGAGCTGAGATCCGGCCACTGCACTCCAGCCTGGGCAACAGAGCCAGACTCCGTCTTAAAAAAAAAAAAAAAAAAAACAAAAAAAAAAAATTAGCCGGGCATGGTGGTGGATGCCTGTGGTCCCAGCTACTTAGGAGGCTGAGGCAGGAGAATGGCGTGAACCCAGGAGGCGAAGTTTGCCAGTGAGCCAAGATCTCACCACTGCACTCCAGCTTGGGCAACAGAGCAAGAATCTGTCTCAAAAACAAACAAAAAACATGCAAGGTGAAGCACAGCGACTAAAAAAATGGAGAAACAGAACAGAGATACGTGGCACAAAGGGTCTAATGTATGTGTAAGTGGAGTCCCAGAAGGCGAGAGAACGCTCAAGGTATATGATAGCCATGAATTTTCGAGAATGAATGAAAGACGTTGACCCACATATCTTTTTTTTTTTTTAAGACGGGGTCTCGTTCTGCTGCCCAGGCTGGAGTGCAGCCACTGCGCCTGACCAACAAACTTTGTCAGCAGGGCACGCTGGCTCACACCTGTAATCCCAGCACTTCCGGAGGCCGAGGCGGGCGGATCACTTGCGGTCAGGAGTTCGAGACCAGCCTGGCCAACATGGTGAAACCCCGAGTCTACTAAAATCATAAAAATTATCCAGGTGTGGTGGCAGGCGCCTGTAATCCCAGCTACTCGGGAGGCTGAGGCAGGAGAACTGCTTGCACCTGGGAGGCGGAGGCTGCAGTGAGCCAGAGATCATGCTGCTGTACTCCAGCCTGGGTAACACAGCAAGACCCTGTCACACACACTTTGTCAACCTGGAATGCCACTCCCGGCAAAAACATCCTTATTAAGAAAGGTGATGCCAGGCGTGGTGGCTCAAGCCTGTAATCCCAGCACTTTGGGAGGCTGAGATGGGCAGATCACGAGGTCAGGAGATCGAGACCATCCTGGCTAACACGGTGAAACCCCCGTCTGTACTAAAAAATACAAAAAACTAGCCAGGCGAGGTGGTGGTCACCTGTAGTTCCAGCTACTTGGGAGGCTGAGGCAGGAGAATGACATAAACCTGGGAGGCAGAGCTTGCAGTGAGCTGAGATCCGGCCACTGCACTCCAGCCTGGGTGACAGAGCGAGACTCTGTCTCAAAAAAAAAAAAAAAAAAAAAAGAAAGGTGAAATCAGTATTTTTTTCAGGGAACGAAAAGCTGAGATAATTGGTAATTTGTTAGCGCCAAAGCTGCACTCGGCCCGGCATGGTAACTCACACCTGTAATCCCAGGGTCACTTGCCCACCTCATCCTCCTAAAGTGCCTGGACAACAGAGCCAGACAGGCAACCCTATCTCTACCTAAGAAAAAAAAAACACCCAAAACAATTAGCTGGGTGTGGTGGTGCATGTCTCTGGTCCCAGAGACTTGGAAGGCCGAGGTGGGAGCATCGCTTGAGCCCGAGGTCGAGGCTCCAGGGGGCTGTGATTGCAACTGCACACCAGCCTGGGCCAGATCCTGTCTCAAAACAAAACAAAACTAACAAAAAGCAAGCTGCACTGTAAGAAATACTGAAGAAGTTCTTCAGGCTGAAAGGAAATTATCCCAGATGTAATCTCTGATCAGCAAGAAGAAATGAACAACATCAGAAAAGGATGAACATGTGGGTAAACAGATAAAACACATGACAGGCACTCCTTATCCCCAAGCTACTGCTGGGAAAACCATCGATGGGATCAGCCCATTTCTCTCTTGCCATCTGACTCTTACAGGTGCATTATTTCTGCTTTGTCACAACGTATTACAGTGATACTGGTCTTCCACCCTTGGTCTCACCTTTAAAAAAATTATTTTCAGCCAGGCGCGGTGGCTCAAGCCTGTAATCCCAGCACTTTGGGAGGCCGAGACGGGCGGATCACAAGGTCAGGAGATTAAGACCATCCTGGCTAACACGGTGATACCCCGTCTCTACTAAAAAATATAAAAAACTAGCCGGGCGAGGTGGCGGGCGCCTATAGTCTCAGCTACTCGGGAGGCTGAGGCAGGACAATGGCATAAACCCGGGAGGCGGAGCTTGTAGTGAGCTGAGATCCGGCCACTGCACTCCAGCCTGGGCGACAGAGTGAGACTCCGTCTCAAAAAAAAAAAAATTATTTTCGCCAGGCACAGTGGTTTACGCCTGTAATCCCAGCACTTTGGGAGGCCGAGGCTGGCGGATCACCTGAGGTCAGATCGAGACCATCCTGGCTAACAGGGTGAAACCCCATCTCTACTAAAAATACAAAAACAAAATTAGCCAAACGTGGTGATGGGTGCCTTGTAACCTCAGCTACTCTGGAGGCTGAAGTGGGAGAATAGCGTGAACTTGAGAGGCGGAGCTTACAGTGAGCCCAGATCGCGCCTCTGCACTCCAGCCCGGGTGACAGACTGAGACTCCGTCTCAAAAAAAAAAATTTTTTTTTTGAGACAAGGTCTTTTTTTGGAGAGGGAGTCTTGCTCTGTCGCCTGGGCTGGAGTGCAGTGGCACGATCTCAGCTCACTGCAACCTCCGCCTCCCGGGTTCAAGCGATTCTCCTGCCTCAGCCTTCTGAGTAGCTGGGATTACAGGCATGTGCCACCACAAATGGCTAATTTTTGTATTTTCAGTAGAGATGGGGTTTCACCGTGTTGGCCAGACTGGTCACAAACTCCTGACCTCAGGTGATCCGCCCACCTCAGCCTCCTAGAGTGCTGGGATTACAGGTGTGAGCCACCGCGCCCACTCTGGTTTAATTTTCCCAGATGTACGTTCCATGTGGGAGGTTCAGGTCTTTTTCTGCAAAGCTTCCTTAGACAACAGTCTTAAATGCTAGCTCTGTTTCACCTCTTCAAAGACTCAAACACCAGCCCTTCTTGGCCCATCTTCGGGATTCTGTGCCGTGTTCCGCAGTTAACCGTCTTCTTTCATCTTGTTTTCCTGCCCTCAGTGCCTCTCCTCCGATTTTAATGAGGGTCTTGGGCACCTTGCAATTGATTCATTTCCAAAAGCAATTCTTTTCTGATGTTTTCTTCCTGAATTCGTTTTCGGAGGGCTGTCCATTTCTGTGCTTAGTTTCTGAGTCTCTGATCCGGGATGGGTTTCCGGTCTTCAGTGCTTCCTAGAAGGGACCTCTGCCCCTTCAGCTTCTTGGTGACTTGTCTGGGAAGGGTGAGCTTTCTCGGCTGTCGCTGGAGGAGTGCACAGGAGTTTCCTCCCTGCCGCACCCTCTGCTGCCTTCTCCCCCCTGAAGCCTTGCAGGGGACGAGTGGGTGGCGACAAAGACCCCACGTGGCATTCGGGGGCTTCTGCCTCCACTCCCCTTGCCAGTGCAGCTGCAGCGTGGGGAGAAGGCATGGGACGGAGCCAGGGCTGGCGCCGCCACGGTCTTCACCTGCCTGAAGGTTCCACTGTTCTTCCGGGAGCTACTGCTGATTCCCTTCACCGTGCCGTGGGCCCCCACGGGGATGCTTTCCGCCCTGCTGCGTGAACACAGGGAGTCAAGGAGGCCTTCCGCTGGCAGAGGCAGCCAGGACCTTCCTGCCTGGGCCCCGCCACTGAGCTTTTCGGGTGTATTTGTGTAGCATCAGAGAACGGGACCCCCAGGGCCACAGCTGCATGTATGTGACTTCCCCTTTCCATGGTACACCAACACTCGTCTCCTGCCCTCTCCCCAGACAGAGCCCAGCTCTGCCCTCTGCTTCCGTCTTCCTTACCTTCTGCCTCATGAGTTGGTTTCTGTTACCGGAGGCCGCCAGCCACTCCCGGACTTGTCCTGGATGGGCAGGATGGGGATGGAGACGCTACCCGTTCCAGGTCAAGCTTCGTGGAAAGTCCAGACACTACACTTGGGTTTGGTTTCATTTTTCTTTTATTTTTTAAAAAAAGCCCCTAAATTCTATGGCTTCAAGGGAGCATCAGAGAAACGTAAATGCCATTTCTGTACACTTGGTAAAGCAAAAACTAGACTCACAGCCACCGCCCTAGGCACGGCCCCAAGCTGCTTCACTCTGCCCAGCAGCCTCCAGGGCACCCCGCTGGGGGACCGCCCGTCAGTCCAGGGCCGCCCCAGGCCCCTGCACATACACCCGCGGGGCTGCGCCGGGGCTTTAAGGCGTTTTGTCTCCGACTGCTTGCCGGGTGGCGGAGCACAGAGGCAGGAAGCCCTGTGCCCACCCGCCCCACGCAACAGGGCCCAGGGCCGAGCAGGGCGACACCAGCTGGTCCTCCCACCTCAGGTTCCAGGCGCCGGGGCACAGCCTCCGGAAGCAAGTGCGTTGAGAAGCACCAGCCTGGCAGCGCCCGCCCGCCCCTCGCCAGGGCCAGGCTGGGCAGAGGCTGCAGTGGCCGTGCCCGCGGCACCCGAGCTTTGGTGCAGCATTTTGGTTGGGGAGCCGGCTTCCGCCGCGGGCCCACCCCTGCCTTCCCCTTTGGTTTCAGGGAGGCCTGAGGCACGGCCTCACCCCTGGCAGCAATGCCTCTCCCCTCCCAGGAGGGCCTGGGCAAGACAGCCCCACAGCACCCTCCAGGCCGGGCCTGCCCTCCCCTCGAGAAAACGGCCTTTGGATCGAGGGAGACAAGCTGGACTTTATGACGCTAACGGGGGCGGCTGGCGGGGCCAGGCCGGGCCTCAGCCGGGGGCCCCCAGATCACACTACTCACTTCAGCAAAGAAACGGAGGGCAGGGTGGGGGCAGGTGGGCCTCTGTGTTTTTCCTGTTTTCCTTGTTTTAAATAGTTAATGCTCTTGGAGGGGAGGACTAGACACAGGTGTAGAAATTTCGGCCAAAGTCTTACGTGAAGGAAGTGACCCCACGTCCCGGGGGTGGGGCCGCCGGCTGAGCCAGGTGCGGCCCCTGCAGTCTGCGTTCTGGCTTCCGGCCAGGGTCTGGCCCTGGGCCGCTGTGAGTGGGCCCCGAGGGCCTCGCACAAGCTCTCGCCCCAAGGGGCTGCGCGGAGAAGATTCAGGGGGCTGCACGCGCCCGGGGTCACTTGTGTCGCTGCAGCGATTTTCTCTTTCTCCTCTTGAAGAAACAGCAGCATCTGGGGAGGGAGGTGGCACAGGTAGGAGGAGCGGGGTGCGGGGCGGGGGCAGCCCAGGCCTCAGGCCCTCCCACCCCCAGGGGACCCAGGGCACCCCCACCTCCCCAGGGCCTTACTTGGTTTCATCGGCCACCTCCACCTCTGCAGGCGCCGTGATGGGGGCATTGGAGTGACCAGCCGTGGGGTCGTCCGCGTTCAGCTCCCCGTTGGTGGAGTTCAGCGCCTGGCGGGGGCAGTAGGGGGTCACGCTGGCCGCCCGTGCCCCTCCCTGGGGCGTCGGTCCCGCCCGGGCCTCACCTGGTTTTTGCTGTGCGGCTGGCCTTTGTCCCGGAGCTGAGGCTGGGAGGGCAGGTCGGTGTGGACGGTGCCGATGGGGGTCGGCTGCGGGGGAATGAGCACGACTCAGGATGGGCTGCAGTGCCGGTTCCCATCTCCTGCAGGGCGGTTTCCTGGTCCCCTCCCCACACACCGGGGCCCCCCACCTACCAGGGGCTTCCCGGCCCAGTCGTACTCATAGTCGAACACGAAGCCGCTGCGGTCGAAGAGGTCGGTGAAGAGCTTCCGCAGGTAGTCATAGTCCGGCTTCTCGAAGAAGTCCAGGCGCCGCACGTAGCGCAGGTACGTGGCCATCTCCTCTGCAGAGAGAGTGCCAGCGGGGCCTCGGCGGGGGTGGGGGCACGGGGTGGGGGCGGGGACGCACGGACCCCTTACCTGGGAAGTTCTCGCAGAGCACCTCGATGGGCGTCGCGCGCTTGGTGTCCCCGATCTTCTGGTATCGCTCCTTGAGCGTGTCGGCCTGCGGGGGTCCGCGGTCAGCCTTGTTCCCGGCCTGTGTCCCCGCCTGCCCGCCCGGCCCCCGCGCCCACCTTGAGCCCCTGCCAGGGGAGGCTGCCGCGCAAGAAGTACATGAACATGTGGCCCAGCGCCTCCAGGTCGTCGCGGCGGCTCTGCTCTGCGGGAACAGGGGCGCAGCCTCAGCGGGGCCCGGGCGCCCGCCCCCCGCCGCGCGCGCGCAGCTCACCCTTGCCCAGGTGCGTGTTGATGCTCATGTATCGCGCCGTGCCCGTCAGGCTCTTGTGCTCGCGGTACGGGATGTGCTTCTTGGTCTCGGGGTCGATGTACTCCTTGGCCAGCCCGAAGTCGATGATGTGGATGGCGTGCTGCCGCTTGGTCCCCGGGCGGCCCACCAGGAAGTTCTCGGGCTTCACGTCCCGGTAGATGAGGCTCTTGGTGTGCACGTACTCCATGCGTGTGATCTGCAGAGGCAAAGCGGTGTCGGCCAGGCCCCTCCCCGGCCCACGCGCTCCCTCCAGAGCCACCCTCTTCCCTCCGAGTCCCGCCCTCCCGCCCGCCGCGCACCAGCTGGATGGCGATCATCAGCACCGTCTTGAGCGTGAAGGTCCGGTCACACAGGTCGAACAGGTCCTCCAGGCTGGGCCCCAGCAGCTCCAGCACCATGGCGTTGTACTTCCCGCACGGGCCGAAGTAGTAGACCTGAGGGACGCCCTCTGCGGCGGAAGACAGACGCAGGGGCGTGCGGCGGCGGCCCCCTCCCTGCCCCTGCGCAGCCCCCGCCCCACCCGCGGGCTGCCCGGTACCTGTGGCGCTGAGCTGCTTGTAGAACCGGTACTCCAGGTGCAGCTGCGGGGCCCGGGACTTGATCGGCTCCTGGGGGCACAAGCGCGAGTCACCGGGGACACTGGTTGCTGCCCTGAAATCCCTGGGGGTATGTCAGCTGGGGTGGGGTGGAGGGGCCGACTCACCAATTTGATAGCCACGTATTCATTTGTATAGAGATTCTTTCCTGTGGGGACACAGAGCATCAGCACCCTGGCGCCGGGCCCACCTAGCCCCCACCTTCCCAGCCCACCCCCCAGGAAGGAGGCAGGAGGGGATCCCTGAAGGACCAGCCTCCAAAGGGCACCCCTGCCCAGCAGCCGGGCCTGGGCCCAGCCTGCCCGAGCACGGCACTGGGGCCTGCCAGGTCCTCCCCACACCTGCACCCTGCCCGTGTGGTCACTGCCTCCGTGTCTGCCACTCCTCCCCCTCTCTCCACCACCTCCCCAGTCCAGGACGTAAGTGGCACTGGGGAGTTTCTCACGGCTGCAAGGGAGCCCCAGGGGCTCCACACTCCTCCACCCCTTTCTCAAAGACACCCCCAGGGCACAGCATCCCCCGCATGCATGCCGGAGGCCCCCAGGTGAGCCCCAGCACAGCTGGACAGGGACCTGTGGCCCACATGGGTTAGAAAAGAGGAGCCAGGTCCTGTCCCCTGGGGTCACCAGCCACACAGAACTTCCAGGGCTCAGTCCCATGAAAGGGCAGAAGGCACAAGGCCCATAACCTTTTTTTTTTTTTTTTTTGAGGTGGTCTCGCTCTGTTGCCCAGGCTGGAGTGAAGAGGTGCGATCGCAGTTCACTGCAGCCTGTCTCCTGGGCGCAAGCCATCCTCACACACCTCAGCCTCCCAAGTAGCTGGGACTGCAGGTGCGCACCACCACACCCAACTACTCTTTGTATTTTTAGTAGAGACGGGGTTTCTCCAAGTTACCCAGCTGGTCTTGAACTCGTGAGCTCAAGTGATCGGCCTGCCTCAGCCTCCCACAGGGCCGCGATGACAGGCGGGAGCCCGTGTACTGCCCAGGGTGCAGCTTTTTACCTGTTACACCCCCTGAGGAAGGAGAAGGCCAGCCCTTAACACAGGGAAGCTCTGCAGGGGCAACTGTGGAAGCCGGCCTGGGAGGGGCGCATGGCCCCACCCATTGTGGTGGCTCAGCACCCGAGGGGTGAGACCAGCGGTGAACAGGCTGGATCCTTGCAAGCACACATGGCACATGGCCCTGGAGGGCTCCCCACGGCAGCTGAGCCAGACAACAGGCACGAATGTGTCCGGCACCCGTGTGGCTCCAGCCCAGGATGGCACTGGGGCCACAGCTACCATCTGCTGGGCGACCTGTCCCGCGGCATGACAGGACACCACGTGGGGCAGCCCCATCTCTCAGGCACTGTCGGGCTGGGTCACCGTGTTGGGTCTGCAGTCGGCTGCCTTTGCCTGAGCAGCATCCACGGCAGAAAGAGGCCTCCGTCGCCGGGGGCGGTGGCTCACACCTGTAATCCCAGCACTTTGGGAGGCCAAGGAGGGCGGATCACCTGAGGTCGGGAGTTCGAGACCAGCCTGGCCAACATGGAGAAACTCCCGTCTCTACTGAAAATACAAAATCAGCCGGGTGTGGTGGTGCATGCCTGTAATCCTAGCTACTAGGGAGGCTGAGGCAGGAGAAGTGCTTGAACCCGGAAGGTGGAGGTTGTGGTGAGCTGAGATCATGCCACTACACTCCAGCCTGGGCAACAAGAGCGAAACTCTGTCTCAAAAAAAGAAAGAAAGAAAAAAAAGAAAGAAGCCTCCACTTCCTCCCGCCCTGCTGCAGCTGGACTGGCAGGGTGGCCGTGGCGACAACGGGTTTGGAAACCCTGCTAAGGTGGATGCAAAGCCCCAAAGCCTGTTGGCTGCGCTGCACACGGTCATGACCTCACAGTCTGAGGCTGGGGTCCCACCTGGGCCCTGAGAGCCTCTTCCTCCCACTAGTGCCCCAACCCGGATGTGCCCTGCAGCACGGGAACTGCCGGGGCCCCTTCCCACATTGCCCCGTCCATAGCACTGCCAGGGCTCTATTTCGGCAGTTTCCAATCAGCTTGTCAATTTCCCTAAACAGCCTCAAGAATGTGGCATCTTGAGGGGGCAGGATCATAAGGACGAGTAATGACCAGGCGCCTCCCTCCAGTCCTGAGCCGGGGACCAGGGTTGGTCCCTGCGTTTTCAGAACAAATGGGCTCCCTCCTGTGTTTTCCCCAACATGTTATTCGGAAATTCTCGTAAAACAATAGGAGCCGTGCCCCGAATACCCAACATTCACCGCCGAGGCCCCAGAACTAAACCTGCCACATGGTCCATCCTCACAGTTACCATCCACCGGTCCATCTTATTTTTAGAGGGACTTCAAAGTTTTTTCCTTTTTGAGATGGAGTCTCATTCTGTTGCTCAGGCTGGAGTGTAGTGGCATGATCATGGCTCACTGTAACCTCTGCCTCCTGGGTTCAAGCAATTCTCCTGGCTCAGCCTCCTGAGTAGCTGAGATTACAGACAGGCACCAACAACCTGACTAATTTGTGTATTTTCACTAGAGATGGGGTTTCGCCATGTAGGCCAGGCTGGTCTCGAAATCCTGACCTCAGGTGATCCGCCTGCCTCGGCCTCCCGAAGTGCTGGGATTTAGAGGCGTGAGCCACTGTGCCTGGCCAGATTTCAAAGTTTTAGAGCTCAGGACACTGCCCCAGATTTGGAAGTTTTAGAGCCCAGGACACTGCTACCTGAATCTTTTTTTTTGAGACGGAGTCTCGCTCTGTAGCCCAGGCTGGAGTGCAGTGGCACGATCTCAGCTCACCGCAAGCTCCGCCTCCTGGGTTTACGCCATTCTCCTGCCTCAGCCTCCCGAGTAGCTGGGACTACAGGTGCCCGCCACCTTGCCCGGCTAGTTTTTTGTATTTTTTAGTAGAGACGGGGTTTCACCGTGTTAGCCAGGATGGTCTCTATCTTCTGACCTCGTGATCTGCCCATCTCGGCCTCCCAAAGTGCTGGGATTACAGGCTTGAGCCACCACGCCCGGCCTGACCCCTGAATCTTGCAGCTGCAAGTTCAGCCCAGCGTCTGCGGTCCCTTCCCCTGAATCCGGCAGCTGCAGGTTCAGTCCAGCGTCTGCGGTCCCTTCCCCTGAATCCGGCAGCTGCAGGTTCAGTCCAGCGTCTGCGGTCCCTTCCACTGAATCTGGAAGTTGCAGGTTCAGTCCAGCATTTGTGGTTTTCCTTCCTGCGCTGCTCTTTGGAGGTGGGATTCACAGTGGGATGCCCGTGTCTCCAAAGTCCTGTCTGGTGAGCGCTGGCAGCTGCCCGCTCCAGAACCAACCCAGTCCTGTTGAGAGGGAGCGCGCCCTGCCCCTCAGCCATCCCCCCTCCCCCTCTCAAGAGGCTGCCACTGCGGTGGGCTCCTCGCCGTATCGCGCGGCGTGTGCCTGCCTGGCGCTGCGCCCCGGCTCACGGGGAGGACGGGGTTTGGCGTGCCCATTCGCCCTTGCGGCACACCCTGCCGTCTCCAGTTCTGACTCCCCAGAGCAGAGCTCGGCGAACACGGCTGTGCAGCTCTTCCTGCGGGCAGTTGTCCCCTTCTCTGGCAAAGCGTCGGCCACGTGCTGACCACCACCAAGGGCTGAGCTGCGCTCCCCCAACGGAAGAGGCCAAGCCCTCGCCTGTGTGCTGCGCCGTCCCTCCGCTGTCTGTCGATGTATCATCCGGCTGTGGTTCCCTGACACTTAGGCGGATGCTCGGTCTTGCCCAGCCTGGCTGGCCTCATGCTTTTGGCAGTGTCTTGATGAGCAGACCTTCGAAGCTCTGATGCCTCTGATGGTGATGTGGTCTTTCCCGGCTCTTCCACTCTGCGCTGTGGAAGAAACCTTCGCCTGACCCCACCGCTGTGTGCAGACGGCATTTCAGAGACCTGGGTGTGCGCTGGGCGGGTGTGGCAGCATCTGAGGCCTGTGGATCTCAGACACCTGGAGGAGGTCGGGCGCTCTGGGCTCTGAAAGCCGAAGGGGCTTCTCCGGCAGTACTCGCGGTGCACGCAGAGGGCAGGAGACCCCATGGGGCCTGGCAGAGAACAGCTCCAGAGAGGCTCAGGAGGTTCCGGGGGACACACAGGCGGGAGGATGCTACACCTCCAACAGCCGGAGCGCGGGGTCCTCCCTGGATTCTCTGACTTCAGCTGAGAACCCAAAAGGTCCACAGCTTGGCACAGGGCTTCCTGGCCTTGGAGTCACTCATGTTTACCCTCGGCCCTGCCCCAGCAACACCGAAACCAACCCTGACAGAAACAAGGTGAGCCACAGGGACAAACGCAGCGCTCAAGCTGGGAGACCGCACCCTCCACACCTCATGGCACACACCACGGCCACACCCACTGAGGCTGTCCCACAGGTGAATGAAGGGGGTGTGACCGTGACAAGCGAGAAAGTCAGCAGCAGCACAGACGTCATTCCACACAGTGCTGTGTCTTTGATGCACCCCCCCAAGGGTCATGTGTTGGGAACTGGGTCCCCAATCCAGCACTGTTGGGGCTGGGTCACTGCCCTGGTGGATGGATGAATGCCATCAGCATGGGAGCGGGCTCCTGATTAAAGGGCAAATCCAGCCCCCTCCGGTCCTTGCCCTCCTGCCTTCCACCATGGGATGACACAGCAAGAAGGTCCTTGCCAGACGCCATCCTCAATCTGAAGACTGCCAGCCTCCAGAACACTGAGTCTGTCAATTTCTGTTCACTATAAATGACCCAGTCAGGCGCGGTGGCTCACACCTGTAATTGTCCAGGCCAACACAGTGAAACCCCATCTCTACTAAAAATACAAAAATTAGCTGGGAATGGTGGTGTGCGCCTGTAATCCCAGCTACTTGGGAGGCTGAGGCAGGAGAATCACTTGAACCCAGGAGGCGGAGGTTGTGGTGAGTCAAGATCGTACCACTGCACTCTAGCCTGGGCAACAGAGCAAGACTCCATCTCAAAAAAAATTTTAAAAGGCCGGGCGCGGTGGCTCAAGCCTGTAATCCCAGCACTTTGGGAGGCCGAGACGGGCGGATCACGAGGTCAGGAGATCGAGACCATCCTGGCTAATACGGTGAAATCCCGTCTCTACTAAAAATACAAAAAACTAGCCGGGCGAGGTGGTGGGCGCCTGTAGTCCCAGCTACTCGGGAGGCTGAGGCAGGAGAATGGCGTAAACCCGGGAGGCGGAGCTTGCAGTGAGCTGAGATCCGGCCACTGCACTCCAGCCTGGGCGACAGAGCAAGAATCCATCTCAAAAAATAAATAAATAAAATAAATAAATAAAATAAAATGACCCAGTCTATGGTATTCTGTTATAGCAGCACAAAATGGACTAAGAAACAGCACAAACATGTTCAAAGATGTAAAGGAAAAGATGGCCAAAATCAATGTGCACATGGGAAATCTCAGCTGAGATCGAATGGAGAATCATACGGAACTGAAAAATGCCACTAAGCAATCAAAGATGCACCGCATGGACTTCCAGGGTTGGAGGCTGTAGAAAAAGAGTAAACTTACAGCAAGCAGCAGCAGCCGCACAGCCTGACACCAGGAGAATAGAGACTGAGGGAAAACAGCCAGGGCCGAGGGACCTGCAGACAGCGCCAAGCACTTGCGTCACACGCAGAACCAGAACCCAAGAATGAGAGCAAGGCTGGGCCAGTCCAAAACTTCCCGGGTCAGCCAGGCATGGTGGTTCACGCCTGTAATCCCAGCACTTTCAGAGGCCAAGGTAGGCGGATCACCTGAGGTCAGGAGTTTGAGACCAGCCTGGCCAACATGGTGAAACCCCGTCTCTACTAAAAATACAAAAAATTAGTTGGGTGTGGTGGGGTGCACCTATAATCCCAGCTACTTGGGAAGCTGAGGCAGGAGAATTGCTTGAACCTAGGAGGTGGAGGTTGCAGTGAGCTGAGATTGCGCCATTGCACTCCAGCCTGGGCAGAGCAAGACTCTGTCTCAAAAAAACAAAGCAGGCCAGGTGCAGTAGCTCACGTGTGTAACACCGCTTTGGGAGGCCAAGACAGGTGGATCACCTGAGGTCAGGCGTTCGAGACCAGCCTGTCCAACATGGTGAAACTCCATGTCTACTAAAAATAGAAAAAATGGCCAGGCGCGTTGGCTCACGCCTGTAATCCCAGCACTTTGGGAGGCTGAGGCGGGCAGATCATGAGGTCAGGAGATCGAGACCATCCTGGCTAACACAGCAAAACCCCGTCTCTACTAAAAATACAAAAAATTAGCCGGGTGCGGTGGTGGGCACTTGTAGTCCCAGCTACTTGGGAGGCTGAGGCAGGAGAATGGCGTGAACCCGGGAGGCAGACCTTGCAGTGAGCCGAGATCGCGCCACTGCACTCCAGCCTGGGCGACAGAGCAAGACTCCGTCTCAAAAAAAAAAAAAAAAAAAGCTGGCAAGCTGGCATCACCCATGTGTCACTCTCACCTCTCACCTGCCTACGGGGACCTGCACTGTTCAGTGGCCTGCAACCACCGCTCAAGGACAGGACCCACACAGTCATCTGGGTCCCCAAAAGCCATATCCCGCAGGCTGCAGGTCACAGGGCTGTGCCAGGTGTGTGTGTGCAGATGTGCCTGTGTGCACATGGTTGTGGCTGTGCGTGCCTGTGTGCATGTGCTTTAGTGTGCACATGTACGTGTGTGGGCATGTGTGTACACATCTGCATGTGTCTGCACGTGTGTCTGAGTATGTGCGCACACACACAGGGTTGGGAGGCCACAGCTACCGTCGGGAAAAGCTCACTCTCTTGGCTGAGAAACGGAGCCCGGGGCCTCCCGAGCCACAGGCCATCAGACAGGCAGTGAGGCCCAAGCCCAGCCTCTGCACAAAAGAGTGGAATCCCAGCAGCCTCCCCAAGGGCTGGGGTGGAATCTGGTTCGGGATGGGGTCTCAAACGGGCCTCCTGGGGCCCCGGGTGCAGCCAATGGGAACACTGAGGCAGCCAACAGTGACCCGACAGCTGCGCTCGCCTGGGAGAAGCTGCTTGACTCAGGACACACACTTCTGCCACGTAACTGCCTGCTGAACCCACTTCTGAACAGTGGCAACTACCATTCATCCCTATTTAACAGGTGGGTAAACTGAGGCAGGTGGGAAGCGGGGTCACAAAACATGCCTGGGGTCCAGGTGGCTACAGCCCATGCTCCTGCACCCCTGGGCGGCCGCTCTTGAAGGTGCAACCACAACATACCCACTGCCTGGGCCTCAGTTTCCCTCATCTGACAACCTCATTGGGCCGAGGGGCCGGATTCCAGTACTGCCTGCCGTGGGTGCCCACGTGAGGCTGATCCACTGCCGTGGCCTCCCAGACCTGCCCATCCTGCGCCCTTTCCCAGAGACCCCGACTCCCACCATGACAGACATTGACCGGGGGTGCACTTGGGTCTTCCGGACAACCCCAGCAACAGACGCCAAATGCCCTCCCGCAGGAGCTCAGGCGTTGGCCGTACACCCAGCAGCGCCAGGAATGAATTTAGTATTTCTGGGGATGATCCGGCTGCCTGGCACAGCTAATCACGAACTGCGACTGGCCCCAAACGTGCTCAGAGCTCCCCCAGGCCTGGTGGTCATCTTCAGGCACCCCCACCCAAGGGAAGGCGCCCCTGGCCAGTAACAGGCTCAGTCCTCGGCCCTGCTCCTCACGCCTGCCCGGGCAATCAGATCGCGACCCGGGAGAGGTCAGTGTGAGCAGAAGGCATGGAGCCAGGTGGGCCTGGTGCGGCGTTTTACACGGTGAAGCTGGGAGTGGCACACAGCAGCGTCATCACCACAGAACAGTCACTCCAGTCACCCGACGCTGGCTCCGTGCTGGCGCCTGCAGTTAAGGCCAGGGCTTTGCCCAGCACGGACATGGGCTGTGGAAGTCATTCATGACTTAATACTCGGACTCCCTGCGGCATGGCCTGGCCTGCTCTGGGCCACCTGCCTCCCAACTGAATTGTTTCCCGAAAAGGTGACAGGGCCAGAAACCCACTGTCCCCATGGGGCTTCCTCGAAGGGAAGTGACACTCATACCACGATGGACCGATGATTCAACACATGCCAGTGACCCGGGGTGGCCTCGCCGGAGGCTCCAGTGACCCCGTGCGGCCCCGCCGGAGGATCCCGTGACCCGGGGTGGCCCCACTGGAGGCTCTGGTGACCCCGTGCGGCCCCACTGGAGGCTCCAGTGACCCCGTGCGGCCCTGCCAGCAGCCTCCCACCCCATCAGCCACAAGCAGGGCCTCACCTAGGCGGAGCTCCCCGAAGTTGCCGCAGCCGATCTTCTTGCCGACGCGGAAGTTGGGGCCCACCATCAGGACCCCCGAGCTGGTCCCCGAGCTCCGGATGCCGTGGCTGCTCCGGCCCCCGCCGGCCTTGGACATTCTCCGGCCCTCCTCTGTCTCCCCTTTCCCTCCTTTCTTGTCAAAATCCATAAGTTTGTGATACCCTGGCCTCTCCACGGTGGCTCTGCTGCCGTGCAAATCCCAAGTCTCTGGAAACCTGAGGTCTTGGCTCCTCTGTGGCTAGAACATCACCGCGGCTGGCGGGCGGGCGTGGGCCCGCGGCTCCCGGCTACTGAGACGCAGGCACTGGGGCCGGCCAGGCCGCGGTGCTCATCTCAGTGGCCTTGGGGTGGCTCTCGGGGGCAGGAGACATTCTGTTGACAGGTCCCACCGCCTCAAAGCTCACGGCTCACAGCTGTGGAGAAACAGAGGCACAGGTGAGCGCCGGCGAGGACACGGGGCGGAGGCCACAGAGGACGCAGCCAGGGGGCTGCTGGGCTGGAAGGAGCTCTGAAGGCCGGGACACGACAAGCACTGTCCGTGCCCGGAACGCGGCTGGGAAGCACGTGCCACATGACATTAGAGGCCAGAGGTCTCGGCGTGGCTGCCTAGAGACTAACAGGGTAGGGCTCAGGGGCCTTTCTGTGAAGCGAGATGGGTGGGTGGGTGGCACAGGTGGGAGAACGTACTGCTGGGAGGGCATGACTGCCCATCCCGGGGAGAGGCCCTGAGGATCCTGAAGCCAGGGGTCAGTCCCACCCCCAGACACAGAAGGGCCACACAACAGTCCCCATCTCCAGGCCCAGGGCTGCTCTGAAAAGAGGGAGGGAGGCAGATGACAGCAGGCAGACCTGAGGCAGGGACACAGAAGCCACAGAGCTGCCCCTGCCCATGGCGGCCAGGGGACACTGAAAGTGGGGAGAGTGGACCGGAGGGCAGGAGGCCCCAGCGAGCCGTAAGCTGCTGCAGGAATCCCCACGGCCTGACCCAGGCTCCGGTCGTTCTCCAGCAGCCACTGGTGGAGCGGGGCAGGCTGGACACCACTCGGGGCTGTGACAATGCCAGGGTGGGTCCCACCCAGCCCCTTCGATGCAGAGCGGAGCTGAGAAGGGTATGGCGGGGCCTGAGGGAGGCAGGTGAGGAGGGGCCACGGGTGCACAGCCATCGCCGAAAATGTTAGGACAGGAACTCCCAGCTGAATAAGCCACAACAGAAACAAAGGCACCAGCGTCACAAGCACTGCCCCACTGCACGTGGCAACCGTGTTCTGGTACGAGAAACACCCTGAGGTGATCGCAAGCATGCCTTGGGGTTCCACGCGGCAATAGCCACTCAGATGTTTTCGTTTCCTGGTGCGCACAAAAGTTACGTTCACAGTGTACCATGGTATGCTGTGGTACACTGTGAACGGACACACTTTAATTAAGTGGGGCATGGTGCCACAAGCCTGTGGTGCCAGCTAGTCGGGAGACTGAGGCGGCAGGATCGCTTGAGCCCAGGAGGCGGAGGCTGGAGGGAGCCATGATCATACCACTGCACTCCAGCCCGGGTGATACAGCGAGACCCCATCTTAACTAAATAATAGAGAAATAAAAATACTTTACTGCTAAACAACGCTAACGATCGTCGGACTGTGAGTGCGCCCTAATCTCCCTGGAGGAGGGTCTTGCCTCGACGTGGACGCCGGCTGACTCATCGGGGCAGCGGCTGCCGGAGGCGGGGGCAACTTCTTAAACTATGACCACAAAAAAGTTGGCCGCAGCAACCGACTCTTCCTTTCATCAAAGATTTCTTTGTGGGGCGTGATGCTGTCTGATAGCATTTATCACCCACAGCAGAACGTCTTTCAAAACTGCAGTCGGTCCTCTCGACCCAGCCGCGGCTTCGTCAACTGAGGTTCCGAGCTATTCCAAGTCCTCTGTCCTCATTTCCACCAGGTTCACAGAACCTTCACTGGGACTACAGAGCAGCTGAAGCAACTCCCCTGCTCACCCTCAAGAGGCAACGCCTCGGCTGGGCGCGGTGGCTCACGCCTGGAATCCCAGCACTTCGGGAGGCCGAGGCGGGCAGATCACGAGGTCAGGAGATCGAGACCTGGCTGACCAACATGGTGAAACCCCGTCTCTACTAAAAATACAAAAAATTAGCCAGGTGCGGTGCCGGGCGCCTGTAGTCCCGGCTACTAGGGAGGCTGAGGCAGGAGAATGGCGTGAACCCGGGAGGTGGAGCTGGCAGGGAGCCGACATCGCGCCACTGCACTCCAGCCTGGGTGACAGAGCAAGACTCCGTCTCAAAAAAAAAAGAGGCAACTCCTCACGTGTGAAAGTTTCTTGTGAGATGGCAGCACTGCAGTCACATCTCCAAGTTCCTCTCATTCTAGCTGTCTTCCTGCTTCTAAAACCTCTGCAGTTCCTCCTCCATGGAAGTCCTGAACCCTCACAGTGATCCTTCAGGCCTGGGATCAACTTCCTCCAAACTTCCACGAATCCTGCCATTTGACCTCCTCCCATGGATCACACGTGTCCTGCACGGTCTCTAGAATGGCAAATCCTTTCCGGGGGTTTCAATTTACTCAATTTCCCCAGCTCCATCAGAGTGATTACTCTCTACGGCACCTACAAGCACCCAGAGTCTTACAAATGTATTTCTCAATAATGAGAGTTGTGGGCGGGTGCGGTGGCTACTGCCTGTAACCCCAATACTTTGGGAGGCTGACCCAAGTGGACTGCTTGAGGCCAGGAGTTCAAGACCAGCCTGGGCAAGCAACACAGGGAGACCCTATCTCTACAAAAATAAAATCAAAATTAGCCAGGCATGGTGGTGTACACCTGTAGTCCTAGCTACTTAGGAGACTGAGGTGAGAGGATCGCTTGGGCCTGGGAGGTAGAGGCTACAGTGAGCTGTGATTCTGCTTCTCCACTGCAGCCTGGGCGACACAGTGAGACCTTGCCTCAAAAACAGTGAGACTTGGCCGGGCACTGTGGCTCATGCCTGTAGTCCCAGCACTTTGGGAGGCTGAGGTGGGCAGACTGCTTTGAACTCAGGAGTTCAAGACCAGCCTGGGGAACATGGCAAAACCACCCCCCTACACAAAAATATAAAAATTAGCTGGGCGTGGTGGCACGTGCCTATAGCCCGAGCTACTTGGGAGGCTGAGGGAGGACAATTGCTTCAACCCGGGAGGCGAATTGCTTCAACCCGGGAGGCGGAGGATGCAGTGAGCCGAGATCATGCCACTGCACTCCAGCCTGGGTGACAGAGCGGCACCGTGTCGTTCATAAATAAATGAATGGATGACATGTCAAGGAGTCATCCTGATTTCCAAGTCAATGAATGTTTCATTGATCCACGGGCCACAGGCTGGATGTTGCGCTAGCAGGAATGGAAACACTGATTTTTTTTTTTTTTTTTTTTTTTTGAGACAGAGTCTCGCTCTGTCGCCCAGGCTGAAGTGCAGTGGCATGGTCTCGGCTCACTGCAAGCTCCGCCTCCCGGGTTCCCGCCATTCTCCTGCCTGAGCCTCCTGAGTAGCTGGGACTACAGGCACCCGCCACCACGTCCGGCTAATTTTCTGTAGTTTTAGTAGAGACAGGGTTTCACCGTGTTAGTCAGGATGGTCTCGATCTCCTGACCTCGTGATCCGCCCGCCTCGGCCTCCCAAAGTGCTGGGATTACAGGCGTGAGCCACCGCGCCCGGCCAGAAACACTGATCTTGTGCGTCTCCACCAGTGCTCTTGAGTGACCAGGTGCACTGTCCGTGAGCAGTCATATTTTGAAAGAAACTTTTCTTGAGCAATAGGTCTCAAAAGTGGGCTCCAAATATTCCGTAAGCCAGGTGCTAAACAGATGTGCTGTCACCCAGGCTCTGTTGTTCTATTTACAGAGCTCAGAATAGATTTAGCATCATTCTCATGGGTCCTAGGATTTGTGGAATGGTAAAAAGCCCTGGCATCACCTTAAAGTCACCAGCTGCATTAGCCCCTAACAAGAGGGTGAAGAGGGTGGGCCTCTCCTTGGAAGCCAGGGAACCGCTTCTCCCACGCGAGGAAAGTCCTGGGTGACATCTTCTTCCGGCAGACGGCTGCTGCTTCTACACTGAAAGTCTGCTTATCGTAGCCACCTCCATCAGTGATCCTGGCTAGATCGTCTGAATGCTGGCTGATGCCTCTCCAGCCGGACTTCATGCTTTTCACCTTGAACTTGGATGTTTTTTTTTTTGACACAGGGTCTCAATCTGTCACCCAGGCTGAAGTACCATGGCGCAATCACAGCTTGCTGCAGCCTCAACCTCCTGGGCTCAAGCCATCCTCCCACCTCAGCCTCCAGAGTAGCTGGAACTACAAACACACACCACCACGCCCAGCTAATTTTTAAACAGTTTTTTGTAGGCTAGGCGCAGTGGCTCATGTCTATAATCCCAGCACTTTGGGAGGCCAAGGACCAGCACTTTGGGATCACCTGATCCAGGAGTTCGAGATCAGCCTGGCCAACCTGGTGAAACCCCAACTCTACTAAAAATACAAAAATTAGTTGGGCGTGGTGGCAGGCACCTGAAATCCCAGCTACTTGGGAGGCTGAGGCAGGAGAATGGCATGAACCTGGGAGGTGGAGGTTTTAGTGAGACAAGATCATGCCACTGCACTCCAGCCTGGGCAACAGAGCAAGATGATTTTGTCTCAAAATTAAAAAAAAAAAAAAAAAAAAGGCCAGGTGCGGTGGCTCACGCCTATAATCCCAGCACTTTGGGAGGCCGAGACAGGCAGATCACGAGGTCAGGAGATCGAGACCATCCTGGCTAACACGGTGAAACCCTGTCTCTACTAAAATACAAAAAAAAAAATTACCTGGGTGTGGTGGCGGCGCCTGTAGTCCCAGCTACTCGGGAGGCTGAGGCAGGAGAATGGTGTGAACCCGGGAGGCGGAGCTTGCAGTGAGCCGAGATCACAACACCGCACTCCAGTCTGGGCGACAGAACGAGACCCCGTCTCAAAAAAAAAAAAAAGAAGATTTGTAGAGGCTGGCCACGGGCTCACACTTGCAATCCCAGCATTTTGGGAGGCCAAGGTGTGGGGATCACTTGAGGTCAGGAGTTTGAGACCAGCTTGGCCAACATGGTGAAACCCCAACTGTACTAAAAATACAAACATTAGCTGGGCGTGGTGGCGCATGCCTGTTAATTCCAGCTACTCAGGAGGCTGGGGCAGGAGAATCACTTGAACCTGGGAGGCAGAGGTTGCAATGAGCCATGATCGCACCACTGCACTCCAGTCTGGGTGTCAGAGTGAGACACTGCCTCAAATAAACAAAAGAGGCCGGGCGCGGTGGCTCACGCCTGTCATCCCAGCACTTTGGGAGGCTGAGATGGGTGGATCACAAGGTCAGGAGATCGAGACTATCCTGGCTAACACAGTAAAA